TATATATATATATATATATATATATATATATATATATATATATATATATATATATATATATATTACACTACTAAATTTCAACAGTTTGATCTTTATGTAACGAATGTTTAAGTTTTCTGATGGAAATATTTGCCTCGACTTCGGAATCAAGCAAACGTTGCGAGCTGTGGATACTCCATTTGATCTTCGCAATCACTGACGTAAAACAAGCTGGCATATATATCGCACATGGAGTTGATCATTCATGGTAGACGGAAATGTGCATAAAAACGGTACCAAGAATAGAAGTGAAAGGCCGATACGGTAAATGGATCGATTGCATCAACAACGTTTGACGCATGAAATCTAGCGATGTGATCGAATTAACAACACTACTCATTGCCAAAAGTTCATCGTTGCGGTTACATAACAGTGGTTTGTAAGACGAAAGGTATTTCGTAACAGCCGATTCCGAACTTCTTATAGTCGCTTACGGTTAATCTCTGATTACGGTTTTTGGCTTCAGGTTTCGTGTACAAAAACTGGCTTGCTTCCCATCAGCCAAGAAGCTATGATTCTTGGGGAGACAGCAATGTACGATCCGTCCACTGTGGCTGCCCACTTCGCCCAACCCAGTGCGGATGAAGATGCGGCGACTCGTAAGGAGCGACGGTTCGCCGAGGAACGGGCTTCCATTGCAGCCATTCTGGCCGAAAAGTCTGCGGATTGTATGCTGCTTATGATTCGCAACCATGGATTGCTTGCCATGGGACAGTCAATTGAAGAGGCTTGGTTTGTTGCGTTCAACGCTGTTCTGGCCTGTGAATCACAGGTGAGGAATTTTTACATAATTCTAGTTCATTGTATTATTGTACACTGCAGATGTAGCTAAAATTCAGCGGACGGTGATCTTGAAGCAGAAAATTAATTTGCTTATGTATCAAAGACCAAGAAGAACTATGAAAGAGTATCGAAGTGTTTGATGTGTATTGTCCTTGAGTTTCGTTTCTTGCTCGGGTTTATTTGTTGAGGAAAAGTAAATGTGAATAAATTTTATGTGAAACTGTATGGACGTTACAAGCAATTTGGTTTCCGGACGCCAAAAGAATGAAACCTCGCGATAGCTTTTTGGTGACCGACAAAAAATCTATCGAGCACCAAACGTGGATCAGAAATTGATATTCCGCGCACTTAAATAACCAAATTGGTTCAGATACTGCTGGAGCATTGAGACGCCCAAGGCGCAATAGGTCCTGATTAAATTGCGGATCAGAAAGCTATCGACTTGAGTTTTGAAAACGGTATCACCGTGTCTGGTTCCTTACTCTTTAGAATCACCTGATCTCTTTCAAGTGCTGTCTAAAAATTACCCTATCCTGGTACTCCCACTGCTACTTGCTCACTAGTATTTGTCTTTTACACTAGGTGATTTGTCATTTCTGATTAGACTTCTTTGACAGCAGTGTCCCTTATTCACAATTCGCGGACTCGTCTACCTGCCCCCTATATTTGGATTCACTCTTGAAGGACTCAGCTCATTGTATAGCGTTTTGTTGCTGAATCCGATACAATTCTAATGCAAACAAAACGAAATACTTTACTGCGGTTGGCTTCTTGGAAAGGATTAGCCCGCTCCAGACATGATCATAATTATGAAGTTACTTGGGAGTTTGGCTCGAAAGCCATCCCCGGCGTCACTCGGAGTTTTTTTATTTTGAAGACGCACCAAGTGCGAACTGCAAGGCAACAGGAATTAATCCCTGTCCTCGGAAGTGAGGGGGTCAATGACTTTAGTTTTTAAAGGCCAGTTACATCGACCTTTGTTACGACACCGTCATTGGGCCTATGCGGCTTTTAAACAGGAGCCGGGTGACCAGTCTGAAACCCACCACCCATTGGTAGTGCGACCGCTGTTTGTTGGCGATTGCTTATTTGTTACGGTATGCCACAACTTATTTACAGCTAACCTTCTTCGGTGAGTGTATCCTCCTATCCCACAACTCGGGGACGTGCCTGGTAGCATTTAGCTCTGCTTAACCCGAGGGTATCCAGGAAATGAAATGGCAATTTAAAACATTGAAATAGGCTTACTAGTGTTATGATCAGCCTGCTCTTGTTGAGATTTCCTTTCAATGGGGACGATCTGTTAAGCTGTTTGAGTTTTAATAGTGTTATATAACCTAAACGGTTAGAAACATTAAATTTAGCTGTACATGCATTGCAAACTGAAAACCCCTAATTTCCCACTCTAACGTTCAGTTTTGGTCTGCCTTTTGAACAACAGCTTCGACTGGCCAGTATTAGTGAAGATGAGTTAGTTCTCCCGCCGAGGGAAGCACAACAGGCAGCTCACTATGTCGGTCGTACACCTCTAGCTGTCCAACTCCGACCTGGTGAAAGTGTGGGTAGTTCTGGTTGGCGTCGAGGGGAGTTGGAATTTGAGGCACTGATGCGCCGTCTAGATGCGGCCGGTTATCGCACTGGACATGTCTACCGCCTTGGACAGATTCGGCATGCTGGCACAGCTGCATCAACTCTTCCACGTCCATTACCAGATATCCCAGATGGGGTCGCAGTAACTGAACCTATGACTCCTCGCGATGCCGCTGCCTTAGTACGCAAAACGGCTAGTTTGGGACGAGGATTTCGAGGCTTGCGGGACGTCGAAATTCCTCCGGCGACCTCCTCATTTGCAACTGCATTTTATGAAGACGAAACTAGTCGGTGAGTGGCCCGTAATAAGCTTTCCCTGTTTAACTCGATTTTTAGTAGTTGTGTGGAATCAGAGTACCGTGTTAGGCTCTCGCTCTTTAATCTTGTCCACGCACTTGCGAGCAATATTGGAATTTTATGAGAATAGTGTAGGATGTGATTTGATTTTTAAGGAGTTTTTATCGTGAAAAAACAAACAAATGAGGTGTGAACCGAAAAAGTACGAAGTACTGTACAGCTGTTTCGGCTTGTTTGGGTCTCATCAGCAGTGTCAGTT